GACTAGGGCCCGGGAGCACCGGCCAAGGGAAGGGCTGGGTGCGGGCAGCGCCGGGGCTAGGGCGGGTCAAGACTGGGGAATGGGGGCGTCAGAGCCAGGGAGGGTGGAGGAGAGGGCGGGGCCGGGGCTGCACGCCCGGTTGCCGCCGCCGGGGCCGGCCGGTGGTCGTCGCGCGGGGCGCTGCCGGCGGTGGCTCTCGCTCGGGGCGACCCCTTTGCGGCCGTGCGCGCTGCCCCGGCTGCAGGCCCCTCCGGAGGCCGCGTGCGTCCCCGCCACGTCACCCCGGGTGGGGCAGGAGCGGGGCGGACTCTCGGGCGGGGTGCCCGGCTAGGGAGGCCCTCGTGTCCGCCCCGGCTTCTTGACCTGGGAGAATACCAAAGGAGGCCAGGCACAGCGGCTGCCGCCTGCCCTGCCAGCACTCTGGGCGGCCGAGGCGAGAGGGCTGCCCGAGCCAGGGGTTTCAGACCACGTGGTCAGCCTGGTGAGACCTCGCCTCTACGATAAATCAAAAAGTGAGCCGGGCGAGGTGGCGCGCGCCTGTAGCTCCAGCTGCTTGGGAGGCTGAGGCAGAGCCCAGTGGGTCGAGGCAGCCTGGGCAACAGAGACTCCGACTCAAAACAAACAAGCCCACAGAATACCAAAGGAAGTGGCTGACTAAGTGCTCACAGGCTAGTAGTGGGAGGGTCCCGCTGCAGACCCAGGAAGCGCTGGGACGACGGCAACCTCAGCATACGCAGCATGTGGGCAGAGCTGCTGTGGGACCCTGGGCAGGCCACCACATCTCTCTGAGCCTCAACTGTCGGCTCACGTGGGACATATCAGTGGTTCTCAGACCTTCTGGTTCCAGGAACTCTTCCACATTCTTACAAATTACTGAGAACTACAGCGAGTGTTCATGTGGGTCATGACGACGGATGTTTGCCATGTTCGGGATGAAAACTGTCGATGGGTGCAGTGGCTCATGCCTGTAATCTTAGCATTTTGGGAGGCCGAGATGGGAGACTCTCTTGAGGCCAGGAGTTCAAGACCAGCCTGGGCAACATAGACCCAGTCTCTCAAAAAGCTAAATAAAACAGAAAAAATGTTAAAAATATATATTAATTCACCTAAAGTGCTACTAATAAACTCGTGTTAATACCAATAATATGTTTTTATGACACATAGCTACTCTGTGTAAATTTACCAAGAAGAGTGACGTTTTGTGCATACTTACAAATGTCTTTAACGCACGGCTTCCTAGAAGACAGCTGTGTCCCTATGTCTGCTTCTGCATTCAGTCTTGCAAAATCCCGAGTCACGTAGTTGCTGGAAAATCCCAGTGTTCGCTTGTGAAAGAATGAACATAAAAGGGCAGGAACCATCACAGTGTTATTAGGAAAACACTTCAGACCTCTCAAACCACATGGGAGGGTTTCAGGGGTGCTTAGAGCACACTTTGAGAACCACTGGACTAAGTGATCTCTAAGGCCCAAGTGTCCATGACCATAGGGTTTGGGCTGCCTGGGACAGAAGGCAGGTGTTATAGGCAGTCAGAGGAAGGAGAGGTCACCATGATCTGGGGTGTTCCGAGAGGCCTTCCGGGAGGAGGTGGGCTTTGGCCTGGGCCATGAAACCAGGAAAGAGTGTGGGAAAAGGTTGCAGAGTAAAGATCCTGATGGGAGCAGAGGGGATCACGGCAGGCAGGTCTGATCTGTGTGTCTCAGACTGGGCGTCCTTGTCCACCGAAGAGAAGGGCCGAGGAGACCAGGAGTTTGGGTGGGGCCAGGTGACCTGCAGCAGATACCCCTGGGGGAGACCCGTGGGCAGCAGGAGGCAGCAGAACACCCCGAGGGCCCAACCACTGGGCAACTGGAAGCTTCCATGCAGTTTGGCCAGAGCAGGAAGACCGTTGCTCAGCAGGCTGTGGGCTCTGCGGCGGTTGGGCTGGCGGGGGTGCCCGAGCTCACGAGGGCTGTGGCCGGCAGCCCCTGACACCTGGTCTTCCCCTCTGGCGCAGACGGAGTCAAGAGCGCGTGTCTGTCCACCCCCACCGCCTCCACCCTGGCTTCGACTTCGGCCACCAACTGCAGACGCCTCAGCCCAGGTACTTGGCTGAGGGCACCGACTGGTGAGTCCGCGGGCCCTGGGGAAGGGGGGTCTCGCTGGAGCCACGAGTTCCCGTTTCCTTCACTTTGGATGGTGCCGGAGGCCCAGTCTCAGCCTCTGGCCCGTGCCTCTACTCTCAGCCACCCTCAGGGCCAGCTGGCTCCACCCGGCCCGAATCCAGCCGTAGCTCAGACACAGCCCAGCGCCACCATGTGCCAAGCCTGGGGCTCCGTGTTCACGGTCCTGCAGGGGAGCAGAGGGACAGGACGCGCAATGGGCCCCCAGCTCAGTGAGGGCTGTGAACCGGCAGTCCCTGGGAGAGAACAGAAAGGAGGATTTCGAGGAGCTAGGGTGGCCGGGAAGACTTCCTGGAGGGGGTGAGTCTCAAGGGATACACAGAGAAGGGCTGAGGTGTGCCAGCCGGGCTGCGCAGGGCGGGGGTCCCATAAATGCTGGCTCGCGTGAAACCTGAAGACAGAGAGGCAGAGCCCGCCAGGCAGGGTTCGAGGGGGCAGGAGGGGAGCTGGGAAGAGAGGCGCGTGTTCATGGCGAGTGTTCATGGCGCATGTTCATGCAGCCTCCTGCAGCCAGGATAGGGGTCCTTGCTGTCCTGGGAGATGCAGGGACCTCGGTCTGGGATCCTGGGTCCCATCCAGCTCTCTGGCTCTAGCTCAGAGGAGAGCTGATCTTAACTAGGGCTGGATCAGAACCCTCAAATTCTTTAAAAAGATGTGCAGCTCGCTGAGCATTTAGAGGTCAAGGGCATCTAGCCTGTCACTTGTTTTTAAATCGTTCCTGGAAAAAACCATCTATCTATCTATCTACCTATCTAATCTGTCATCTAGCTAGCTATAATCTATCACTTATCTATCAATCATCTCTCTACCTACCTACCTACTCGACATATATTATCTGTCAATCTATTATCTATCTATTATTTTATCTATCTATGTATCTACCTACCTGAAAGGCCCCAGCCAGCCACAAGGAACCCGCCCCCTCCAAAGTCTAAGCCTAGGCGTGGCCCCACCTAAAATGGCGCTCCCGCCCAAGAAGGCGCCCGGACAAACTAACATGGAGGCTCGGACAAGGCCTTCCGGGTTCTTCTTCCACAACAAAGCCGACCACTCCGCGCCCGCGAAAACCCCTGCCAATCCCCAAAATACCTCACCTGCCGACCAATAGGTAACCGACAGGTCGCTTTAAATTTCTATAAAACCTGCCACACCCCTGCCTCCATGCTGCAATCTGATTCTCAGGTTCTGTAGCCACCGTGCTCACCCCCATTAAATCTCTTGGCCTTAAAGGGTGTGGAGTCTCACTGCGCGCCACCGTCTTTCACTACCTATCTATTATCTATCCATCTATTATCTCAATCATCTATCTACCTGCCTGCATATATGTTGTCTATCAATCTATTACCCATCACCTATCTGTCAAGCTGTCTTCTATCAATCTATTATCTATAATCTATCATTTTATGTCTACCTACCTATTATCTATATATCACCCTGTTCTCTATCAATCATCTAATAATCTATCAGTTTATGTACCTACCTACTATCTATCAGTCTGTTGTTTATCATCTGTTTATCTGTCTGTCCACCAACCATCTGTCTACACAGACGCGCGCGTGCGTGTGTGCGTGTGTGTGTGTGTGTGTGTGTGTGTGTGTGTGTGTGTATTTGAGGGAGAGAGAAAGGAGGACACGGCAACACAGCACCACAGTGATGTGCAGTGGATCTGGGCGGAGGGTACCGGGAATTGTTGAGGCTGCTCCTGCAATTCTCGGGTTGTGATGTCACTTTGGAGACCACAGGAAATTCCCCCATGGGGAACGCTGCACCGTGCTTAGGACGAGTGCTGTTGTTGTGCCCCTTTCAGCCCTCGGTGGTCAGGCGAATGGGCTCCGTCTGGGGCCGCTTTGGGAGACGCCAGGGGACCGAACACTGGGCCCTCCAGGGTGGGAACAGCAGGTCTCCCAGAGCCAGGCTCCAACCCCGTGTGTCCTCAGGTGGCTCCGTTCAGTCGACCGTCCCTCAGGGGACAGAACGCACTGCCGTTTCTAAGGAGCAGACTCAAACTAGGAGGATGCAGTTGCAGTTCAACTTAAGGTCTGCCACTCAGGCAGGGGCACCCTGGGGGGGCCCAGGAGCTTTGTGATGGGGATTTTGCCAACTGCATCCCAGCCCTGATTTCCACAGCCTTCTTCCACAGGGAGATGGGCCACCTACTAATTGGATGACCGAGAAAGCCTTCTAGAAGGGCTCCTCTCTCCTCTGCAAGGAGCTCCGGGAGGGGGAGGGGAGGAGGAGGGGAGCGTGTCCACAATGCCCCCTTTAGAGGGACATCAGGGGCCACTGACTTCAGCCCTTGGGCTTCTGGAATTGGGCCTCAGGCCCCAGGCCGCCCTGGCCTTCCCTTCCTCTGGGATCTGGGAACTGGCCCCAGACGCTTCTCTCCGTGGGGCACCCTGGGACAGTGTGGGAGCAACAGACCTTGGGAGACAAATCCCCAGCTGCCCCTCTGGGGCCCGTACCTGTGCCCCACCCCTGCCCCCGGGCCTAGAATTTGCTCGTGAAACCCGTCTGGGCCTGGAAGCTTCTTGATGCGAGTTTTGAATCACACATTTAATTTCTCTAATAGATATCACAGCCTTCAGGTTGTTTAATATCCTTAGTTAGTCTGGGTGATTTATTTTCGTGTATTTATTTTTGCAATGGAGTGTCACTCTGTCACCCGTGCTTGTCACGGACTCCTGGGCTCGGGGTTCTTGAGTAGCTGAGACTCTAGGCACACACCACCCTCCCCGGCAGTTTGGGTCACTTGTGTCTTTCGAGAAGGTTCTTATTTGTGGGTTTTATTGGCATCAGGATGTTCATAATATTTCTTAATTAACTTTTTAATATCTTCAGAATCTGTAGTTAGTATCCCCTCTTTCGTTCCTAGTTTTAGTAATTGGTACTTTCTCTCTTTGCTCTTAACCAGTCTGGCTAGAGTTGCAATCAACTGTATTGTTCTAAAGAATACAGCCTTTGAATTCGCTGTTTGTTTTTTATTTCGTTGATTTCTGATCTTGCATTTGTCACGTCCCCCCTTGTGCTTACTTTGGGTTCCAGCATTTTAAGGCAGAAACTGAGATTATGACTTTGGGTCTTCTTTTCTAATATGAGCATCTAAAGCTATGCAGTTTCCTTTAAGGGCTGCAAATTTTCTCATTTCCATTATGATTTCTTTTGATCCTGAGTAATTTAGAAGTATATTGCTTAATTTTTGAAAATTTGAGATTTTTCGGAAATCTTTTTGTTGTTGATTTCTAACTTAATGCCAGTGGAATCAGAAAACATGCTTTGTATCATTTTGTTCTTTTTAAATTTATCAAGACTTGCTTTATGGTCTAGCATATAACAAACGTTCTATACGTATTTCCTTAAATGTATATTCTGTTCTTGTTGCACGGAGTGTTCTACAAATGTCAGTTAGATCAGGCTGGCTGATAGGGTTGTTCTGTCTTCTATACGTTTATGACTTTTGTGTCTACTTGTTCTGTGGATTATGAGGGAGCCGGGTTGAAGTCTACAGCTGCAATTGCGAGTTTTCCCTTCTCTGTCTGTCAGGTTTTGCTTTTCTAGTCTTGACTTGTATATGTTAGAATATCATAAGACTTGCCATTTCTTCAAGACAAACTGGCCCTTTTATCATTATTAATACTCTCTCTTTATCCTTCAAAGTAATCCTTGGTTCCAAGTCTACTTTGTCTGATAGTAACATAGCCATTCCAGCTTTCTTCCAATTAGAGCTTGTATGGTGCATTTTGTTCTTTTCTCAACTTCTAAGCTAGTGTCTATGTCTTTATATTTAAAATTTGTTTATATGCAGAAGATGGTTACTATTTTGCAATGAAAATCTCTGCTAATTGATATGTTTAGATCATTTACATTTAAATCTACCATCTTGAGCTTGGTTTGCTATTTCTTTCATTTGTTTGGTCATTGTTTTTGGTTCTTTTTAAAAATTGTTTTAGTCTGTTTCATGCCTTCTTTTGTGTTTCTAGGATTAAATATAGGCTTAACAGTCATATCACTTTATTTTATTTTACTTTATTTTGCAAATGCATTTTATTTTAACTTAATTTTGCAATATGCTTATTTAGCGTGTCACATTCTACCCTGAATAGAATTGTACCACTTGTGTGCGATGTAAAACTCTTACAGGAGGAGACTTCCATCACTCCTGTCCTTTGCTGTCCATTTTGCAGGTTCTACCTTTACATGTATTCTAATAAACCATCACAATGCATTATCATTTTTGCTTTAAACCAGGGATTGGCAACTATGGCTCATGGATCAGATCTGGCCTACTCTCTGTGCTTGCAAATAAAGTGTTAAGGGGACGCGGCCACACATATTTGCTCGCCTACTGTTTATGGTTGCTTTTGCACTACGGTGGACATTTGAGTAGCTGCAACAGAGCCCCCGAGCCCTTAAGGCCTAAAGTATTTGCTATTTATAATCCTTTACAGAAAAAGTCTGCCAATCTCTGCTGTAAACAATCAATCTTTAAGGAAAAATTTTTAAGTAGGGAAAGTGATCATTTATATTTCCCACATAATTATCATTTGGGGCATTCTATATTCTTTTGTCTACATTTAAGTTTCGGTCTGGTGTTACTTTTCTTTAGTCTGAAGAACTTTCTTTCACATTTCTTTATTTCTTGTGTGCCAGGCTTCTGGCAGTACTTTCTGTCAACTTCTGTTTGAAAAGGACTTTATTTCACTGTCGTTGTGAAAGATGCTTTAGATGGGTATAGATTTCTAAGTTAACAGGTTTTCTGTTTTTTCAGTTGTTGAAAGATGTCATTCCATTGTCTTCTGGCTTGCCTTTTTCTTGATGGGAAGTCTGTGGTGATTCTAATGGGTCTTTCTTCACTGCTTTCAAGATTTTATCTTCATTATTGTTTCTTCAGGAATTTGACTATATGCTTTGGAATGGTTTTCTTTGTGTTAGTCTGTGTGAAGTTTGTTGAGGTCACTGAATCTGTGAGTTTATAGTTTCATCATTTGGAAATTTTCCAGCATTTTTCCCCTAAAATATATTTTCTGTCATATTTTGGGTCTTTATTTGGTCATGTGGCTAGCCCCTTGATAGTTTCACTGAGACTCGGTTAATTTTTTACTCTTTTTCTTCCCGTGTACTTTAATTTGGATTACTTTTATTGCTGTGTTTTCAAGTCACTAATCTTTTCTTTTGTGGTATCTAAACTGCTCTAATCCAATTCAGTGCATTTTTCATTTTAGACATAGCATTTTTCATCTCTAGAAGTGCCACTGGAGTCATTTTTAAAAATATCTTCCATTTTTCTCCTCTCTGTTTTTCTTTTACAGATTTGAACATGATTATAGTGGCTATCTTGGCATCTTTGTTTGCTAATTTCATCTTTGTCATTTATGTGTCTTAGAGTATTTCTTTTGATTGATTTTTCTCTTGATGATGTGGCATATTATGCTGTTTCTTAGAGTATCCAGTAATCGTTTACTGAATTTTGGGCGTCGTTTGTTAATAGCTGTGAATTGTACAAAATTGTTGAGTAATTAGAATTGTTTTACTCATTTAAAGAGTGTTGGGCTTTGTTCTGGTAAGCAGCACTTGCAGTTTAGTTTGATCCTTTTGAGGTTTTTTTAAAGTCTTATTACAGCAGAACTGGAACAACCCCAGAGGAGAGACAAATCCCTAGATTTACTCTATTAAGTCTTATAGGTAAGCTTCAGAAGTCTCTTCCAGGATCTCTGTCGAACCATCAAGGACTGTCTACTCTGGCTGTTTGGAATGTGAGTGCCTGCCAGCCCTGTTTAAACTCTGGGAACCATTCACTAGTTCTTGGTTGCTCCTTGCAGTTAATTTCACCCCATGCGTGCGGGTCTTAGTATTCAGCAAAGAGTCAGGGAGAGCCCTATGCAGATATCTGGAGCTCTTATTCTATGTAACTTCCTCTCCTTTCCAAAACACAGCACCACAACTTTCAGAGACCCCAGACTCCCTGAAATAAGGTCTCTGAATCTTCAACTTGACAAGGCCACCGTGCTCTGATCACGGTTCCCCTTCCTGCTCACAGTCTGGGATGCTCCTTCATGTAAAAAGCTAAGGAGGTTGTAGGACTGAGCTCATTTGTCTTCCTTCTCCAGGGATCACTGTCTGGACTACTTTTTATACAAGTCTGGAGCCAGATGTCTCATATAGTCTGTTCAGTTTTCTAGTGGTTTACAGTGAGAGGGTAAATCTAATTCCTGTTACCTCATCACTGCTAGAAGCAGAAATTCATTTAATGCTTCTCTCTGTTTTTTCTTTAAGTGTATTTGCTGGAGAAACCAAGCTGTTTTTCCTGCAGACTTCCCCCTTATCTGGATTTTGCTGGTTACCTTCTGGTGTTATCAGTTAAGATGTCTCTCAGTGTTCTGTATTCCACATACACTGGCACCTATATTAAGGCTTGAGCAGATTTGGGCTTGACTCCTATTTATGGCAAAAGCACTTGAGAGGTGGTATCGTGTTCTTTCACTGGAAAGCACACACGGTCTGGCTGTCTCTCCGTCTCTCCTTTTGTGGTGTTAGCTGCAGTTGATCTTTGCCTAGGTTCTTTATTTCTTTAGGGATGCAAGATGGTGACAAATAACTAATCATCTCTTATTCCTTCATTAGCTGAAAAAATGTAAAAAGAGTCATTTCCACTCATCCACTACTTGATTACCCTGAAGTACAGTTAATAAGCAGGCAGGATAAATGCTGGGTTCTTTCCTTTTATTCGCGGTTTTCAAAATGAAGAATTTGTTCCCAGCGTCTTTCAGAGGGACCCCATCTTCCAGCATTGGCTCACTCTCACGGATTTAAGCTGATCCCGTGCGTTTCAATCTCTGTTGCCGCTGCGCTGATAGGCCTGCAAAGTGTCTCAGCTCTGGCCGTGGGAGCCCCTTTAGTTCGGTGCCGGGCCCTCTGCCATGACCCTGGTCGCCAGTCGAGAGCTCTCTTGTGCTCCACGATGACAAGATGTTTCCATCTCCTCTTGCACGCTTCCTCCTCAGACCTGAAACTAGCCATCTTCCGACCTAGCCACTGGCTCCTGTTCAGCATCATTCGTCGATTCGAGGGAAAGCGGGGTTCCTGTACTTTGAGGAGCGGGAAGCGGGGCGGGACACGCTCGCCGCCCCCCGTGGAGGGAGCCGCCGCGGTTCCTCCTCTTTCCGCGGCGTGCCAAAAGCCTGGCCCCCGCCGCGTCCACTCGGCCCCGGGCGTCTTCCCCTCGCTCTGGATCCCCGGCCTGCGCTATTTGGATGCGTCCTCGCGTGTTTCTCTCTGGGAGGGAGCTTCGGTCCGATTTCCAGGAGGGGCACGCACGGCCGGACGGCTCCACCTCCTCCTCTGGCTTGCTTCCTCCGCCCACGAGAGGGGCAGGGCGGGGTGGCACAAAGCCCGCACAGCTCCGGCCGGGTGTGACTGCCATCCGCGCCAGGGCTCCAAGCCCCGTCCCCTCCGCGACGGCGAGCCACACAGCCCTGCGGCTCACCGCGGCTGTTTCCCCCAGGGACCTCAGCGTGGACGCGGGCTTGAGTCCAGCCCAGTTCCAGGTGCGGCCCATCCCCCAGCACTATCAGCATTACCTAGCCACGCCTCGAATGCACCACTTCCCCAGAAGCTCCTCCTCCACGCAGATGGTGAGTGCCGGCCGCGAACTCCCCAGCTGCCCGCGGGGTGCCAGTGGCGGGGCTCCCTCGTTCGTCCTGCCCCCACCGTGGGTCCCGGCCGCATCACCCCCCCCCGCCACGCCACTGTGTTTCCCGGCCCCCCTGAGCCCCGTGCGTTC